CAACGGTAGCTTTTAAAGAAAGCCTTTGTCTAAGAATTTAGAAGTATAAATACGATGATACTGAATCTGGATTACCATTAGAAGAGCATACGAAATGTTTAGCTTCTGATGTCTGTGAAGTGTTCATGTTGGAGCGATCTAAAGTTTTCAAGAGAGAAAATATTAATTGCGTAGAGGACCGAATTTATTTATACTGATCTAGTCTGGAACCATGAGCAACTTAGTTGATGGCAGCACTAAGTACCTCTTGTTTATACAGTAAATTTATTTTAGTAAATAATTTAATTCAGAAAAATATCAAACAAGAACTTGAAACAATCTTCATATGAATTGTCAATGAAACTTGATAAAATCTTGAGATTGAGAATTCTGAAAGAATCTTCTACGATTTGTCTAGATATGCATGCGGATGATTAAACTTATCAAACGCCTGCAAAAGTCCTTGCTAAATCCTAACATGTTCCTCTAAAGATTCCGATTACGATTGAGCTTCTTTTGTACTGAGTGAAAATGCATATTATAAAACTTTCTGAAGAAGATTTTCATAGATACTTACCAAGATTGGTCAACGTCGTATTTCCATTGGTCTTATTAATTTTTTGCTAAGACCCTCATCTAATGTGACTACCATCCTTCGAAAGATCCTCGTTATCAATATTTTTATTCTTTTCTTTATTATTTTAAAATTTTTTTAATCTTTTATGATTCGAAAATGTTTTAATAATTGACATTAAAAATATTAATAAAATAAAAATCTCTTCATATACTATCTCCTCTAATAAATACAGCACAGTTCCATCCTAACTGAATACAGCAATACTGTTTCATATACAAGTTATTTCAATCAGATCTATTGATGTGTCTATGTTGAAATATTTTGCAATTGAAGCTGCCTTAAAATGGATTTCGGTTACAGAAAAATATCTCATTGCGCAATTCCTCATTTTTTTAAAATTTTAATACTATAGTCTAATGTAGTTAGAAATCAAATGCACATACTTGGTAAATAATGTTGGAGAATACAAGTTTGCTCTTGTGCAATTGCAATCGACTTTGCTGTGTATTTATAGTTAAAAAAGTTGTTTTTTTCTAAATAACGACCATGGACGTCAATCGAGAGAATATGAGATTTTCGTTAGATAGGTAGTTTGTTTTTCATTAATATATTCATCGTGATGTGTATTTTGTTTTTACCTAACAAAAAAGAAAAAAAGAAGAGCCAGGTAAAAACAGGATACATATCATGATGAATATATTAATGAAAAACAAAACTACCTATCTATTGAAAATCTCATGGTCTCTCAATTGATATCCATGGTCGTTATTTGGAAAATCAACTTGCGACTATGGATGTCAATCGAGAGACCATGAGATTTTCATTAGATAGGTAGTTTGTTTTTCGTTAATATATTCATCATGATATGTATCTTGTTTTAACCTGACAAAAAAGAAAAAAGAAATAGAGCAAGTAAAAACAAGATACACACCACGATGAATATATTAATGAAAAACAAACTACCTATCCAATGAAAATCTCATGGCATCTCGATTGACGTCCATGGTCGTTATTTAGAAAAAAACAACTTTTTTAACTATAAATACACAGCAAAGTCGATTGCAATTACACAAAAGCAAACTTGTATTCTCCAGCATTATTTACCTAGCATGTACATTTGATTTCTAACTTCATTAGACTATAGTAGTGAAGTTAAAAAAAATGAGGAATTGCGCAATGAGATATTTTTCTGTAACCGAAATCCATTTTAAGACAGCTTCAATGGCAAAATATTTCAACATAGATACATCAATAGATCTGATTGAAATAACTTGTATATGAAACAGTATTGCTGTATTCAGTTAGGATGGGACTGTGCTGTATTTATTAGAGGAGATGGTATGTGAAGAGATTTTTATTTTATTAATATTTTTAATATGAATTATTAAAACACTTCGAATCATACAAGATTAAAAAAATTTTAAAATAATAAAGAAAACAATAAAAACAAGTAACGTTCGTCGGTTCGACTCACTTGACCCTCGAATGTATCGGACAGAAGTATACAAGTCTCATCCATGGACATCCAGTTATGAAACAGCTGATTAAGGGAGAACTTATCACATATGTCGGATTGACTGAATTTTCATTCTGAAAAATTGAATTGGTTGAAAATTCAATATTAAAAGCACGAGAACTGAACACTTAGCCAACGTTTTTTATGATGTTTCACCTTCCACTATGACAAAAACTTATTTTTTTTATATAACCGTTCCTACATTCGAGAAAAAATTTATTTTCTCAAAAAAAGCCTTTTCTCCTGAACCCAAAAAAATTCAATTCAAAATTTCGAGAAACTGACCTCAGATTCGGATTTCCCGACCCCGATTTACTTTCGTTAACCTTTATAAAATATCGTTATTTTCGCAAAAAACCCTTTCCTCAACCTAAAAAATCCAATTGAAAATTTCGAGAAACTGACTTCAGATTCGGATTCCCCGACCCCGATTTACTTTGGTCAACCTTTATAGAAAATCTTCTAAAGTGGATGTTTTTTTGACCTCCATGCAAACACACACAAACTATTTTTTTTTCATATGACACTCCCTACAGTCGAGGGAACATAAACGAAGTATAATGATCTATACAGAGTATCCATTTGACTAAAAAGAACGAAGCGGTATACCGATAGATATCTTTATGGCACTGGTGAGTATAGCATGTCTAGATCTGGGTTTTTGTCCCAGATAAGGGGCCAATAATGGTTTCTCTAAAATAGAGAAGGGTGTGGGTGTGGGTGTCGGTGGACTCAGAAAAGACCTACATTCGCACCATCTATAGTTGAACAGGAGAACTTCGGTAGATATGTTTCTGCTTTTGTGTCTATCTTTATTTTTAAGAAAGATGGTTACGTGAGCTATGTTGATGTGATTTTAAGGGACAGTCCATGGCTCACTCGAGAAATCACGTCATACAAAAAATTTTGACCTACCTTTTTGACCATCGCAAATGAAAGAGCCTGTAAAGAAACCTGTAAATCCAGAGTTTTAGCCTTCTCTGAATGACTCTTGAATATATATGAAAAAAACATTGAAAGTGTCTCCATAAAGTCCTAAAATAATGATAATACTTTTTCTGTTACCAGTATGTAATTTTTCTTTTCCTAAAAGTCAATTATATCAAATTGAATCATACCTTAAAAGACAGAGCAAGTTTCACTCTACAAAACTATATATTTAGATTTTCCTTATATAGTTTTTGAACATATCTATGGCGGGTCAATATATGAAAAACGACACAAAAATTTTCAAAATGTTCTGCTGTGTTTTAGTAATTTGACGAAAAGAAAATATCAAAAGAGACTTGGGCCGACAATAGTTTCTTATGGATTCTATAGAGCGGAAAAAACTGCACAAGATGCACTTAAAGAAGCATCCAAAAAATATGCACATAGTACTTTAATTTAGTCCAAAAGATAAAAGAACATTACTGTTATATAGCACTCTTTTATGGTATTTTCGAAATTTCCCGATCAAACGAAATATAATTAAGGTTTTTTCTGAAGCTGAAGATTAAGTGATATAAAACATCTAGAATCAATTTGTCATCTTAGTTAGATGGTCGACTCAATAAAATATTATATGCAAAGATGATTTCCTTTATACTCCCTATAAATCTGCTACAGTCAATATTCAACGTTACATGATACCGTTTATAGTAGATATTCAGGTCGTATACATTATGTTACTTCATAAAAAACACTGTTATTCCTATCTAATTCTTTTACTACATGTTTTAAACGTGAAACATTAGTGTAATGTTCATTTTGTAAAGAAGAAAAATGTGTCTTTATTGTCCCTTTTTCCCCGGAAATCTAAGTGATTTTCTTGTGTGCAATAAATTTTCGTTTCCAAGTAACAATAACAATCGTTTTGATGTAGCCATAGCCAAGTTATTTTCGGCCATATGGTCTTTATTGACTGTTGATAGGATATAAGCAAGCTGAAGCTCTAAATCGATGGCCAGCTGTTCTTGAAATGCTTCCGCATCCATGTCCTCTTCACTATCATATTATTCACCAGTTATAAGGCTATTGTCTTCGAAGGTAGGCAGTTTTGAATCATTTACTTTGTCTTTGCTTGCTTTTTGTCGCGAGAAGAATGGTCGAACTGTGCTCACTTTAACAAGTTCAGAAAGATCAAAAAGATAAAGTCTTGTCTCTGGATCTGTACTGTGTTTCATTTCATCAACCACTGCGTGAGGCTACCATCGTATTCTACGTAGTTGAACATCATCAAATTTTTTCTTGAGAAATTGCTTTATTTTCGGGGATAGTGTTTGCACTTTTCGAGTTAATAGGAGAGCCCATCCTTCGTTCAATGTTGGTATATGATTGTAGTCGTCCAGATTGAAATTAATTCTTTCTAATTCAAGAGATGAAAGCTTTTGGTTGTCAGCAGCATCTAGCTCGGACTTATACGTAATCGTTGTGAGATCTGTGGTGTAGGTGGCGTGTGCCTGTGGATGTGTGGGTTTGTGTGTACCTGTGGGTGTGTGGGTGCGGGTGGATGTGGGTGCGGGTGGATGTGGGTGTGGGTGTGGGTGGATGTGGGTATGGGTGTGGGCGTGGGTGTGGGTGGGTGTGCGGGTGTCGGTTAACAGAAAAGTATCATGTACACCATCACCATCACCCACACCCACATCCACACCCACAACCAAACCAACACCCACACCCACACCCACACCCACACCCACACCCACACCCACACCCAAC